GAAGCGCAGCGCAACCGCGTCGCGGCTGGCTTGATTAGTAGTGGCTCACCTTTATACTGGCCAACATGCAAATCGCCAAACTCGCGTAGTACCGTGTGAGATCATCGTCTTGATTCACCAACAGAAACAACCATTCCGGAAGCTGTAAACTATCACTTTTTTGACAAAGAGTTCCTAGCAAGGAGGCGGGACATACCTTCTTCTGAATGAGCTTTTTCTTGCCTTCTGAACAGGTGTAAAGTGTGAGATTCGCCAGGCCGAGAGCGGCATGGCGAAGCGTTGTGGGCGTGTCCATGGCACGCTTGCTTGTGATAATGATGTGGTCCAGTACACCGTATTCTATCAGCCTAAACATGTGATCTTTGATATTTCGCAATCGATATCGATTTTTTGAACGCATTTCCAAATTTTAGTCGCCTCGGGTAGCACCTCGCCAATTGGATAAGTAGTTTGCTGAGGAGGTAACCGACTATTAACAGAGGAGATGTGCCGCGAGCGGTCGCGTAGCGACACTGGGCTCATTTGGTGTATACTTTTAGCCTAGTAGATGAAGTAGGGATTTCAGAAAATTAATTGCACGGGATTTTGAAAGTCTTTCAAGAATTTCTGGACCGTTCAAGAATTTCTGGACCGTGGTGGAACCTTTACTGCACTCGATTCGTACCTTGAACCGCGCCAGACTGATTCATGACGGTATGGGAAACTTACTGCAAAGCAGGGGCTTCTTTAGCGCGAAATTGATATACATTACTCAGGGTTGTGAAGGTGCCAAGTGCTTAAGGACCAGAACGCTCAAGAGTTATTGCGGATTAAACAGACGAGTGTTGCCGCGAGCGGTCGCGTAGCGACACTGAACCTATTTGGGACCGCATTTGCAGACTTGTTTTGGAACGATAGTATAAAGCAAAAGCAATGAGCTTAACAAGCCTAAAAAGTATTCTGCTTTTTTGTAGGATGGGGGATTATGTATAATCCCGTGACATAAAGTGTGCGGGGAGATATCCAAATTTTGCCCTGCATACCCTTTACAGCACCCGTGACGCGGCCACACCCTGCTACTCGGGCTCTTCTCATCGACCTCAACGACTGAGCGACCTTCTGGGTGATTTATCTGGATAATTTTTTGGCAGCAGTTTTAAGGGGGAGGGAGTGTGCCAAAAATTACGGAACTCACTTCATCGAAGTGCTTGAACTGTGCTTGAACATGCTCTCCATGATGCTGAGGCTCATCCGCTGTTGCTCGGCGTTCTTGTTGAGCTTCATCGCCATCGTTACGATCTTTTTTAGCCAACCCTGAAGAATCGAGGTTATTGTGGCCTTTAAGGCTATCTAGCCCTCAGAGCAGGCCATTTGGACTCTGTGAGATTGGCAGGAAGCTCACCTTGTTCACAATATATTCCCTATTGTTCAACGACATGCACTCTTCCAGCACTCGACCACAGGCTAATCGAACTGCAACACACCGATGACTCATCGGAAGTTCCGAATTGCAAAAGCAGGAAGACAGACCTGGTTCGCAAGTAGTCGGGCCAATGAACAGCTTGATCAGCGCGTCGAGGTACATCTTTTCCCTCAAGTAATCGCACAGGGCAAACGAGAGATCGTGCGAAACTTTCGGGATCATCCACGCTTTTGTCATCACCTTCGCCACGATGGTACAGCCCTAAAAGGAAATGCTACCTATTCAGATGGAGCAAAGCAAATTCAACTACAAGGATGATTTGAGCTGAGGCACTGAAGGCATCAGAATCGAATAGCGCCCACGCTAGCTAAGGTTCCCACTTGTAGTTGCGGGAGAAATTATTAGAAATTATGATATGATCCTTTTATTTATATTTTAGCAAAATTCCAGCGCCTCTGCAATTTTGTGGAAGGTTTCTGGCGCGTCTTAAAGGAGAGGAAACCCGTGGATTAAAACTTCCAGACTACATGAAAGTAAGGGAATGGGGGGGGGCACCTTGGGGTTATATTGGGGCCACTGCTTCCGGCTGAAGGGCCAACTAATTACCTGTGGTCTTTGTTGGGTCGCCTTGGGTATTATATAATAAATACTCCAAAATAAATCCATCCCTTCGAAAAATTTCAAGACATGCAGGGCTGTAGAGAGCGCAGCCGCGAGATCGATAGAAGGAGAGCGCCCCTCATTAGGTATGAATCCTCTACCTTAGGCTTCATTTAGACTTGTCCAAATGGGCAATACCTCCGAAACAAGAGGAAGACTTTCCTTCTGTGTTCATAGAGGCCATCTTCCGTGGACGGCATCAAAGTTCGCCCGGAAAGTTGGTGCTCTGGTCGAGCATCAATGGGTTCTGACTGCGGTCCGTTACGGACGGTTCGAAGGAGGGTCCCGGGTTTGCATGTCAGAAGCTAATGCATCCGTGGGAAAACTATCCACGATTGAAATTCGATCCAAGAAATTATGTTAAGGCCTCTGGTGACGCGTTACTGTAGGCTCTGAGGTTCGACAACGATGATAGATGACGTCATATTCCGGAGATGGTGAGGGCAGTGAAGGAGGCCTGCGTATACGTATAGAGGGACATCTATGAATACTTTGATGAGGAACTTCCGTCAACGACCGCAATCTTTGCGAAAAAAAGGGTCGAAGTGCGACTTGCAAATGGCTGTTTTTTGGCCCCTCCTGTATATTTAGAGCTTTTCCGAAATGAAGGTGGAAGACAAGGATGGAAAGTTTCCTGCGAAAAGGGCTTCCTAGACAAATGACGCTACGCAGTTGAAGAGGACGCTAAGGAAAATCATATGCACACTTGAACACGGTCAAACGTATGAACTTCAAAAAGTAGTAAAATCATCCATGTTTTCGCCATTTTCGAACCATTTTCTTTCTCGTCTTTGTTTGGAATTCATTAGCCATTTGACGGATACGACCCCTGCGAATCCTACCATTACAAGTATACTTCCTATGATAATTTTGCCAAGGAACTGCTGAGCGTGTGGAGAGAGAAAGCTACCCCCGGCCTCCCCCTCGCAAGGGTTCACTGATTCAGCAACTTTTGCTGTCATGGCGTTACCTTACACGGGTAACCCTCCTTGGACCAAGGTAAAGAGGGTTTTAGGGGTCGATTTGGGTGGAAAGGGGTGTATTTTCGGGAGTCGTCACTGTTACAGTATGGGAGGGGATGAATTCAGATTGAAATAGGTCGTATCGAGGCCCTCTAGAAGGGGGGAGGGGGTCGTAAAATTTTCGGAATTGGTCCAACGATGGTTGACCCTACCCTTACGTTAGCCACTCGGCTATTACACTTCAACAACGGATAAATAGTCATTACTACCATGTTACAAACAGATCCCCGGAGGAACCGCGTTTGAAGCGCAACGTGCGCACATGCCCTATTCTATGATAGAAGTGGAACGTAAAATTATTTTCAAAATTTGTGACCACAATCCTAGGTATTTTATTCATAGGAGTGCATTTCCGCTACGCTCCCCTTTTGCTAAAGACAGCTAAACGGGAAAATGCACCGATATATCCCAGTCACGGTTCAATAACTAGTCCGAGGGATAACCAACAACTACTCGCCGACAAATGACCGATCAATATCATATCAAAATGTGTAGGAATGGTAAACGATAAGGTTAGCGTAGATGGCTCTATATCCGGGATGCGCCATGCATTCGTCCTTAGTACTAAAGACAATGGGATGCGTATTTGACCCATGTGTTGAAGCTGGAATCACTTGAACACGATGTCTCTTTTTTAGTGTGGATTTCCAGTATCCCCAATTTACATTTTGGAGGCTAAGAATACACATCAGATTAGCTTGGACGGAATTCGCCGATCGTGGAACAAACGCTAGCGGCGCCTGTTGCCAAGGAACGCATGAATCCCTTTCATATGAAAGTATGCAACCCATGACGGCAGGAGAGAATGAAGTTGTATACTCGATGATCTGCTCGTCAGTGGCCTGCATGATGATGTTTTGAAAGGCCTTATTCGATAAAGGACTGGTACTTGGAGGTCTTCGTCTTGAGCGTGTGCATCATAAGCACTTGCTCGGTGTTTGAATGTTTCGTGATAGGACCGCCATTGACGACGGAGTCTTGCTGTAAGGAGAAGGATTACTGTAATTGTGTTTTATAGCCCAGTTATTTCAATTATGTTGTTTTTATTGAGTTGATTCTGTTTTAGGGGTTCAAACCCTCCCCTTCAAAATGCTGATTTCATACCCTTTCCACTTTGTGATCTTCCGGAGCATCTGACTCAGAACAATGTGTGCTGATGGGTAGTTACGGTAGAGAGCCTGACGAGCCGATGAATCATCGTTGCTCGGAGTGTGGGCTGTGGCTTTCTAGCAAACAGCTACGTACGGTACACACCCACTCACATTGTAGAGGCGGTACTACCGTACGATACTACCGGATCGGCTCGTGGGATGACGCAAGCAAACACAAAAACTACGCAAAAAAACGAGCAGCGGCGGCTTTTCGACGCGGGCCGGGTTTCCGCGGGCCGGTCTGAAATCCGCACACCGAGCAGCTCCGCGTTAACCGAATTTGGCGATTCTACCGAAGGCTATAAATGCAATGAGGCTCATGGACATCATTGCGATACTCGGGCTCAAGAAATACGCACAATTAGAATGTCTGGACTGTCATAAACGATATGTATTACGGTGCAAGGATCCCAGCAAGGGAGAATGATGGTTCAATGTTTTTTTTGGTTGTTGTTATCCTTTTCGGCTCAATGTGTTCCTTCTGGGTTTTGTTATCCTTTTCAGCTTTGATTAGGTCACTTTTTCCAAAATAGTCAGTCGGAACAACGTCAATGCCACCTGTAGTGGACTTCTTCTTTCAAAATCAGTAAGACAAAAGGTACATCACGAGTGAAAGCGCACTGGCTTATGTGACTCCACCCATATGGTCAACCCGGTATGCCTTCAATGCTGCCTGTGTGTCGAAAACGCTCGCTTGAATCTGATTTTCGAGATTTATTTGCCACCCAAAAGCTAACCTCCCTTATCGCATACCCAATAAAAAGGACCGGTCGTAAACCTTTAGAGCCTTTCAAAAACGGCAGAACGATGACAGAAATCTACTTCATTTGTGGGAATGAATCATGAATACTTCAGGCTACTGCGCCCATTTCGTACCCTTGTAATCGCCTGTAAAATTTGGCCCAAAAAATGTGTGGCATATGGTGAAACGAGCATCGTGACTCCCGTGAATACGACAGATTTTTCCCTTGTTGGCCGAAATGCCAGAAATCTCAGAGAAAATTGAAGCACTACAGCCTATTGCTACTCCACCCGCCCAAAGCTTGATCAGATCTCATGGATTCATATTTTGCATGGGATAAAATAGTCCAACAGCAAGTGGCGCTGCTATCATAAAATGATCCGTGGATCATTCATCAGAGCCAGTCCTAACCAGGTGTAACATTATAAGCCTTGGGGATTTCCAGGAAGCACCACAATAGCTTGGGATAATAAAGGTGCTGCCTTATATATCGACTGATGCTTGCATTTTTTTTGTAAAAACTAACAACGCATTCAAAATACCACCCAGGATTTTGAGGAGAAGTGGAGTGCATGGCGCACTCAAAGAAGACTGATCTAGTCGATTAGATCAATAATATAGATCGGTAGTTTCGCTATGGAATACTATATCCCTGAAATGACAAGTTTACTTACCGCTATCAAATTGAAACGATGGGGTGACGTTGAACTAGCGTCGGCAATGGGTGAGAGATCATCGATGGCCACCTCCATTTCGGGTCCTGCTGGCAGTGCGCCGGCTGATGAGCCTTCGGACTGAAATTGCCATCTATTCTAAACATAATACCATCTCATTGAATCATCCGCTGATTACACAAATCCACTACATCAAAGGGTTTACTTTAACGCGAAAAAACTACCGATCTCACCTTGAACCGTCGATACTCTGAGTCTTTCCGCGACGTTTGGTCTTCCTGTGGACACGGTGTCGACAAGGATTGTTGCAGGCGACATTCAGACGTTGCAGTCTGAAAAGCGTGAGAAAAAATTTTGAGAAGTGTACCGCCATGTTTACCGAGCTGTCCGAACCATGCACAAACCACAGGTGCATGTTGACCCCATTGTCGACCCTCCCAGAGTGTCCGAGCAGACATCAGGATCATCCGCGTGTTACAAGTAAAGGATGAGTCACAAAAGGAAACACTTGTAATTGTGTAATTGTGTGAGTGCAGCTCGGGATTGACGACGACATCAGCTGAACAACACAGAGTTCACACGCGAACCAGCCACTCGTCTCGGGGAATTTAATCATAAACCTCAGATGACAAATGCCGGCTTACATCGCCAGGAAAAAAAACGTCACTGAAGCTCCCACTTTTCATGTAAATTGTCGAACCTACTTCTAGCCGACCGAATCCATGGGTTTACCATTCGTGCGTTTGTCAAATCGCCACGAAAATTAACTGTATCAGTCAATCCTACATACCGACCGGCCAAAGGTCATTCGTTCGTTCTGTACTTAACGACGTTATGCTATTTTCTCACTTCATGAGTTATCAGGACCTCTCTATACCATCCCTCTCCCATCCCTTGGACAGTAGAGTTCTGAAATATGAAGAGAGAACGCGAATCCCGCTACAATAAGAGTCACAACACTTGCTAGCAACAGAGATATCATAGGAGGGCCCATAAAAAAAAAAGAAGGAACGAGGCAGAACGATGGAGGATTAGGAGAAATCCTACCTCCCCCACCCATCTTGGCGGGTAGTAGGGCAAGTGGTGTGTTCCACCCATTGATTGGCCTACCTCGATTGTTTCCTTGCGTCAAGAACTCAAGAAAGTTCCAAAAGGTGGGATTCTACCCTCTGAATAGCTTACGCTCCACACTCTTGAAGAAAATCTTTCTGAAATATCAGATCGGTCCCCGTTTACCCCCCTCTCCACACCGTTAGTTCGCATTAATCAGCCCGGAAAGCTATAAGTGCGGGTTCGATTCCCGCCTGGGGCGAAAGTTTTGCCCGTAACTCAGCACTCTTGTGAAATATTTTGAGGGGCTTTGACATGATTATTGATTGATTCGATAATATTAGTTCAGAGGTTTGTATTACATTAGCATATATTTTGTCCTCTCAATGAATTTTGTAAGGCTTTCTGAAAGAGTGAAAAGACTTCAAAAGGCCCAAAATCATGGTCCATGTTCCTTGGGTCATCTCCGTCAGAGTCACCAAACCCTTTATGCTGCTGGATGTTCCCTCAATATCCTTTTCATTTATAGGAGTCACCTGCGTTACCTCTCTATCCCCTGATCGCCCGTGACGCTCTTCTCAAAAACTCGTAAAATCGTCCATAATGAGGACCCGCTGACGTAGTGCTCGGGTAGGTACAGGTTACCGATCTTTAGCCTATGGCCGCCAGGCTTACTCATGCCAGTAGTTAGGAAACCATGTTTTGCTATAGCATTAATGGATTGAAGTCAGATTACTGTATTCTACCCGTCGTTACAATGGTTCCCCTTGAAATAAGATTTTTCATATAACTCCCGCAGACCCCTGCTTAATCTTTTAGAGCACAGTTTTTGTTAAGTTTGAAATAAAAAAGACCATGATTAAGGTGATTATACGTTTCTCAAAAGCCTTGTCCTCCTCTG